CCTTTATGATCACTTTTAACAAACAGAACTGTAACAGCAGAAGCAGAAGTGCTGCTCCCTGTACATCAGGAATATTTCTGCTTAAAACCAGAATCCTTGAAGTATTGATTTGTATTATTGGCATGTTTTAAGGCTGGTTGGTGTTGAATCCCAAAAAGGCTGCTTGTTGGCAGCATCAGGGACACATTATACTGTCACTGTAGCAGGTTCAGAAGTTTTTTATTATATACAAATCTACATGATTCTCATTTAAAGACTTAAAAACATAACAGTGAAGTTTGTTTCCTATGCTCAGAGCTGCTGGGAACTCTGCTCTCCACTTAGATAGAATAATAAATACACATGGCACAAGTGCTGCCAAGGCGTGAAAACAACTGGCCTGCATAAAAACCCAGTGAAGTCTAATTATAAAGCATATCTCACTGAGGTTTTAAAGTGAGGCAGCTACATCCTCCCTCAGTGTTGGCGAGCCTCTCTGTGTTTGAGCTTACTTTACTGTTAACAACCAATTAAACTCATTTACAGCCAGCCCTGCTGTGGCACCTCTCATAATAAACTCACAGCATCACTGACACGTTTCTCTGGTACAAAAAAACGACAGAAAAAAAAATAATTTTTTGAGATGTATCATCTTCTACATGACAAGTTTCTTTTACTTTTTTCACCCTGCAGCCACATTAATAAACCGTCATTTCCACGTACTTCAAATAACATCCTATTTATAGACAACCTGTAATTATTCCACCCTCAGCATGTTTAAAAAGCACAGTGGACCATATAACAGCAGGGCACTCACTCAGGGCCACTGTTACCACTGTGGACATCACAGCCAAACATGTGAACAGCAGAGAAGTGAAAAATCACCGCACAGTGTGAGACATGTGTTTCCTAAACTAACGATCAGGCACAAAGTTCATCAGACTTCCGAAGACAGAATCAGGAGTAAAGTTTCACATTCAAAGTGTGAACGAGAGAGTCAGAAAAAAGAAACAGTTTGACTACGTCAGCATCATAAATGACTTTAAGTTGGCACAGATCCTCAGTGTCACCTGTCTGCTGCTGTCAAACATAAAGATCCACAGTCGGCTCGTAC